TACTTGATTCTTTTATATGCTTGTCAAGACTATTCGATAAATTAACTCCTTTCATGGTAATTCTGATAATTGGCTGATTAACCTTTTTTTTGTTTTGTTTTGGTAAAGGTTAATTCTGTCTTTCGCTTTAAACTTAAAATTAGTGACATGATGCTGTAGGGTCTTATAGGCTGGTTTTGTCAGACGCCTTCTCCAGGACTGCATCTCGTGTGTGACAAGGTGTGCGTTCCCTTGTCACAGTTCATGCTCTTTGGACCTCGTTTGTGGATTTCTTTGATCAAGTGGTCCCCTACTGTTTAACAAAACTTAAAGCAGCAACAAGACACATCACCACACCACCATGAGACGCCTCTGAGGAGAAAGTAGTCCAAACATGTAAAGCAGGTAAATAAACTCTCCTGTCTGACAAGTGTTGAATTCTTGTTGACTTACTGTAATTATTAATGGTATATAACTGCAAAGCCCACAATTTCTTTGCTAACCTCCTACCCAAATGTTTTAAGACCATTAGAGTTTAAAATGAACACCCACACTGTCATTCTATATGTGCACGCTCTATAGTGGATGTGTAATATTTCAGTTTATTCCGTCTGTATTTTCCACAACATGATTCAGTATTACGACAAATATGGCATCATTCTCCCACTCACTTTCACAGTCTGCTTTATTTACGCTCAAATGTCAGGTCCAACTGAATATTTGCAGCAAAACACCGCTCATTTGTCAAATCACTGTAATTGTGAAGAAGCCAGACTCCAGTGCATTCCCACAAGGCTATTTTGGGTGGCATTTTGGATACAGTCCTCTTTTCGGAGTCACGTTCGGCTGGGCTCTCTGACTTCCCTGAGCCGATAATTACAGTGATTCCTGCGCGCGCTTCCAGACTATGAGGAACAGATGGACTTTATATGCACCAGTCCCAGTCAGTGGAGGAAAACCTGTTGAACTATGGAGCAGAAGTCCTTTTAATGAGACCATGTGGTTAAATGGGTGATAAACCGGCCTAATGTGGTAGGCCTGCTGGAAGGACAATAGTCAGAACTTATACAGCAGTGTAAGTGGTAGGCTGCAGGATGTGTTGAATCATGATGAGGTTTTCGTGGTGGCTTAGTGAGTAGACAAAATATATTAAAGGTCCGATATTATGCAAAAAAAAAGGCTCATGTGAGATTAAGCCATAGTTTTCAAGTTTACAGCTACCTTTAACAGGGGCCGGCAATTCCAGGGCTGAAATTATCCAAATGACTCTAGTGAAAGTGTATGGGATTTAAAAACACAGTGGAGCACTTCCTATATTACCACGTAACATCACAAAGTGGCTTTGAAGGAGTGTTTTCTGTTTCAGAGAAGAGCTCATCCTAATTATGCAGGGTTTGTGTATTAAACATGTGTGAATGAAACAAAACAATCCCAGGTCTGTTTGTGATGAGGAAACAACGTTATAACATAAATCAGAAAATTGTGTAATATGGGGCTTTAAATATTTCCCAAAATTATCTTACATCATATTTACTGTTTTGAGCCATGTAAAAATGTATATAGCAGAAATTGTATAGATTTGTGATTTCCTCCTAACTCAGAAAACAGAGGACAGAAATTATTTTAAACTACAGCGAATAAAGGCTTCCCTCTAGTGGGGAAATTGTAACATTACAAAAAATACTTTTTAACGGGAGCTGATGTTTTGATTTATAGTAAATGCAGGATTTTTGTGAATATTGAAATATTCACAACAAGTCTGCATTCACATAGCTTAGATTGTTTTTAAAAATAGAAAATAATGCCTAACTTAATGTACGTTCAAGTATTTTTTTTTTTTTTATGCAGAAAGTAAGGTGTAGCTGCAGAGTACCAAGGTTAATGTTGTGGATTATTATTATTTATTTATTTTATTTTTTTATGATTCCTAAAGCTAAAACTTGGTGATTTTCTGCATTATACAGCTCTATGCTTGAGTCACAGATGTTATAAACCAAAGTATTTCCATGTGCTTCTACAAAACAACCACAAGATGGCAGTACTGAACAGGCAATCTGTCCAGCCCATACCTAAACAATTGAACTGTGCTGATTCTCTTTAAGATGGGCGGAGCGTGCGAAGAAGTGAAAGAATGTTATTCAATGCTGTGGAGTCCAAGACGAATAGTCTGGGCTCAGGAATGTCTGATGATCCAGACATAGGATGGAAAAAATGTCCTTTGCAATAAAATACTGAAAAGAGCAGCTATGAGGACCTATACCTGGGAATTTCTATGGTTGCATCTACTACGTCAAGGATAAAGGTTAAAAATAGACTTTTGAGTTGCAAAAACACATATTTTCCTTCCTCTTTTTCCTGGAAATGCATATGCCCGTAAGTCCAAATGGGTTTTAGTTGAAAAAACTCTGAACATGATGCATTAGTTCCATATGCCTTCACAGAGCAGAGCCTGGTGAGTGGATACATTCATAACACAAGTGTATACTGCCAAACCTGAAGATGAAACCATGGAAATGCAACTGGACACGGTAGAGGTAAACAAACATACAAGAGCTACTCCACTGTCAAATACAGCCCAAACAGAGATCAGATTTTATCAGAGTGATAAAATAAAAGTGGAATATTTTGGCACTCCTGTGGCATGTCCTGTGTGAAAGGTTCTGCAGATGTCTGTCCTTCTGCTTTCCTCTAGAAAAACCTGTTAATAATGAGTCTCTCTCTCTCTCTCTCTCTCTCTCTCTCTCTCTCTCTCTCTCTCTCTCTCTCTCTCTCTCTCTCTCTCTCTCTCTATCTATCTATCTATCTATCTCTATCTCTCTCTCTTCCTCTAAATCCCTCTAAATCTGCAAAACAATAAGACTAAAGCATAACAATAACAATAACAAGAGCACAGTGAGTCTAAAACAGATTTGCCCCTGAGCCCATCCATTCTTTTGTGTCTGGAACAGTTCAGTTGTGACCCTCTGTTGTGAGATCACTGTGAGCTCCTGTCGGTCAGTGAACCTGGAATCACTTCAAAATGGCTCTCAGTGTGACCCTACCTCCCCGTGGTGACTGGTATTTGTGGGTGTGGAATGAAAGGAAATTGCAAGTGTGATGTGTTCAATGTGTTCAAATACAGGGATAAGAGTCACTTTTGCTCTTGTTACATTTTCATTATCTCAAAATGTACCGAAAAACAAAACTCTAGTAGTGTTGACACGGATAATAATTTCACATTAACAAAAATATAAACACCAAACATTATAAAGTGTCTAATTCTACAACAATGAGTGCATTACTTAAATGTTTGTGCAACATTTTAGTGGGGAGCTGTGAGTAAGACCAATACCTTTTGCATATATGTTTGACTCTGTTACTAGGGATGCACCAATCCACCTTTTTATGGTCCGATACCAATGTCTGATGTCAGCCGATACCAGAGACTGAAGTAACTACAGAACAGCTTTGAAAAAATACAACTTCAATATCACAATGTGTTTTGGGCTAATATTGGTGAGTAAATCGTCTTATTACACCAATTAATAAATCAAAATGGAGTATCAACTGAACCAATATCTCGGGACTGATATAAAATCTATCAAAATGTTCAGTATCGGTGCATCCGTATCGATTACCATTGTTGATAAAACAAGAAATCGATCCACACAGGCCCAGGTCTACGTGCGGCCCCAGGTCCACAGTCAGAAAGAGCAGATGTCATGGGAGGTGACGCAGAAAGGAAAACCAAAACAGAGGACTTTTACTACTATTTCACCACCAGAAAGGCCCCTCCCTTTATATTCAATAGGTACAGCCAGTTCTGAGTGTGACGAACAAATATGAGTCACTTGCCCAAAGAGGGGAAATATTCGGGGTGCGGTGTAGAATAACATTTTCCTCTCATTGGAGTAAAGAGGGTTTTTGTGAGGTAACACTGAAGGTTAGTTTGTGGTCAGAGCTATTTTAACACTTACTATAGCATGTTAATAGAAATATTGTTCTCTCTCACTCTGAACACATCATATGGAAAACAGCTTGGCATTTTCACAAACCAAAAGAGGGTGTATCCATCGTTATAGTCTTACTTGATGTCCCTAAGGCTGTAGAAATGCCCATTGCCAAGTAGCAAACAAAGTCTCTTTTTGTAGTTGTAGCTCATGTTTTATGCCCAAAACATAAGGGTCCATTGTGTAATCGTAAACTCAGATATTATTAGCAGGTTTATTGTTTACTGTAAAAAAAAAAAAAAAAGACTACAGCTCCATCCAGAATACTCCTATTATTAAGAGCATAAAATACGTCTTACTCCATTTCGAGCATCAGTGTTTTGTAAATGTATTTTTATAATATGTAGGGATTGTATTCTTTCTGTACAACTGTTAAAGGTGCACTGTGTAATTTTCTGGGTGTCTCCATGGAGATATTACAGTACTCTTTTGCCACAGTATGGAAATAAACTTGGTAATCACAATGTAGCGGATCCTCCACCTTAAAACTTACATAGTGCACCTTAAGTGTAAGTAGCTTGAAATTAAGATAAACCTATAAGCATATATTAGTCAGATGATATTAGAATATTACTGTTTAGCCACCAAAGATTCTCTTGTAGTGATATTGTCATATTTATATTGGCTGTTTTAATAATGTTACATCCTGTGCCAATGCCTTTTTATGAAGACAGTAAGCAATCAATAAAATCTTTCTTTGGTACTAACAATGTTATGTAGCAAAGTAGTAGTAGTAGAAGCAACTGAGTGTCTTGGTAAATGAAAAAAAAAAAAAAAAAAAAAAAAAACATAGGAATCTCAGGAAGCATGTGTCCCATTATTAACATTCATTTTTGAAATATGAAGATTTATAACACGAGCAAGAGCATGGAGCTGATGACAACCAGCTGAGAGCTTTAAAACGCCCAGATTCAGCAAGAGAGGCAAAGACAGATCAGATGTGTGAAGAGGGGAGGAGGGCACACACAAGGAGTCATATTTAAAACCAGCGACGGTGTGCTTTGGGTTAGACTTGAGTGGAGTATGGTGGGCTGGTGCGAGAGATGCAGAGATACGTTTAAAGCTGCATCTGAGGAGAGCTGTGAGGAGAGGAGGGCAGGATGACGGTGCAGAGGCTGGTCCTGGTTTGTCTTCTGTACGGATTCATCAGATTTGGGACTGCCAGGAGTCGGAGTCAAGGTAAGAACTACAAATGTAAAAAGTGCAGTTTTACTTTTAGTGGGGAAAGAGTCATTTATCACCAGGCTCAAAGTAATACCTCATGTGTTTACTTAAATACAGCGATGGGAAGAGCACAGAATATTAATGTATTTTGTAATGAATTCTTATACATGCTCCAATCAGAGTACTATATTCTGCATACTTAGAATACTTTTACATGGTAGGAATAAGAACATAGGATTAAAAACAGCTTTGTTTGTTTGACTATTAGTTATTTGTTTATTTATCACTGATTGGAGAAGGAAAAATCACACATGCCTCACCACAAGAGCTGTGTTTTCATTGATTATGTGCAGTTTCAAGTCGACATTGTGTGATCAAATACTGCCATGTATTCCTTTGACAGAAAAGTAACTGTAATCTGAATACCACCAAATGAAAAAGTTACTGTACCTAAATGGAGTTACTCAAAAGTGGTATTCAGAAAACATATTCTCTGTACATGTATTCAGATACTACTCAGCACTACTTAAATATCACACCTAAGTCTCATTTAGGACATTTGTATTGTATAACTATTAAGTATGCAAACTTTTATTTACATCTGATTTTGATGAGAATTAGTGCCACTGATATTGTAGCCACCTGTCAGTCACTTTAGACACTTTATAGAGCTTGCTTAAGTCAGTATTATATTTTATACTCTATGGATCAAGAGTCTGCTCTTGTGTCCTTAATAAAGATTAAATTAAATGAAAATTAAATTCATATTGTCAAACTTTTATACCTGTAAGAGTAACCTATGGTAATCTAATCATGGTGGAAATGTCAGAAAACCATTACCCATGTACAACTTTTACTGGAGAAATGAAGATGCATGCCAGCAAAACAATTCTTCCATCTTTGTGTACAGTTGAATTTTATTAAGCCTGCAGTATTTTGAGTTTGATTGCCAAGTGTATCCGCAACTTTATGAGCCTGTTGTATGTGCTGCTCACCTGACTGTGCAGTTTCAGCCTTTGAAAATTTTAATGCCTGTGCTTTTGATTTGACCCCAGTCTGCACAGTCCGTGAGGAATGTTGGCTGAGTTAGAGGAGGAGGAGAAACACATACAGTAATGTAGCTATAGCTGAGTAAGGATAAAGTGTAGCTTTATGGAAGCTTAAAGGGCCTATGTTATGTTTTTTTTTTCTGATCTATATATGTTATAATAATGTTTCCTCATCAAAAACATACCAGGAGTTGTGTTTTGTTTCATTCACACACACATTCTCTCAGGAAAACACTCTATTCCACTTTGTGATGTCATGTTATAATACAGGAAGTTCTTCATTGTGTTGTAAACCTCCTTACACCTTCACTAAAATAATTTGAATAATTTCAGCCCTGGAATTGCACATCTCTACTGAACTATGGTAAAAGGCAGTTATTAACTACCACTACATGACATCACAATGTGGAACAGAACATTCTGAGCTTTGGAGATGTAGATAGACTAATAATGCAGGATTATTCAGACATGTGTGAACCAATTAAAACACAATTCCAAGCATGTGTCTGAAGAGGCAACAACATTCTAGCGTGGCTTAAAGCTCACAACAGTCAAATTTGTGTAATATAATGTTTTAGGTAGAAATAAAATGTAAATAAATGTGCTAAAATTATCTTTTGGTGCATCAAATTATGGACAAATGTATGCATATGTTCTTTTAATGCTTAGTTATTCAATAGTAATAGTTCGTTGCGATACTGTTTTTGTCTCAGGCCCTGATGATTTCAAGGTCAAATTGTGTGGATATTCAGATCTTAAACTGCAGCTTTAGGAGAAAATTAGGCTAACACAACAGAGAACTTTAAGATCATATGGAGATCTTATAATCCATTTGTAACTCTGCCTTTTATTCTGCTTCTTTTGAAGATTTAGGTCATGCCTTATCCCCTAAATACAAGTCATGTGTAAGATGAGGTCAAAGGTCAGCATATTGATGACAAACACATGAATCAACATTAGGCACGCACAGTGAGATTTTAAGGTTGCTTTTCTTCACACATCTTTAGAGAATAACTCTCACTTTGACTCCTAGCCCTGTTCCCATCTGCACACAGTCGACTAAAGAGAAATCTGGCATCTGTGGACAATCTCGTCTTCCACCACTCCTCTAAGGATGCTCATCTCCTGTTTGAGGTGCAATAATGTAGCCAGTCTTACTTTGTACTGACTGAGTCCTGTCTAATGATAGTATTGTACTTGTTTATAGATCCTGATGAGCGGCATACATTTCAAACCCAATGGAGACTTTTCTGTTGAAGATGGCGAGCTGGCTTCTCTCCGAAAGACAAGGAAACTGGAGGTCATTTGTGAGGACATTGTTCCCAGAGATTTTTCAGAAATCCTGCGTCTGGTCTCACACATCTCACACACAGAGGGACATCTGCACCAGGATGAGTTTGAACGCACCCTGCTGACTTTGGTATACACCACCCAGAGAATGGCCAACTCCACCAGCACGCACCAAAGAGAGGCATGGGCCCAGTCTTTTGTTCATTTATACAAAGCTCTCAAGCAGGACTTGATGACATGAGTGAAACTGTTATTAAACTGGACAGAACAATTTATGATAAACACATGTATAGTACGTAATCCATCTGGTTACAGGCCTTGGCTGTACTTAAAAATAAAACAATAGAAAAAAAGACTTTTTAACCAGAGATACGGTTCATATATTATATATACATTTGAGGGGTGAGTTGACCATGCACAGACCCATAGTTCTCACATTCAAAAATGTTTGTGCTTTTGTCCTGTAGAACATCAATCATATGATTTACAGGACTAAAGAATTTGATTAAAATACAAAAACAGTGTTCAGCAAAGGACATTTCTTACAGTAAAATGAAATAGAGGCAGGCAACGATACAGATTTTATATTTCTTCTCCACAGGGAGAAAAAAGTTCTGTTGACCAAAAGGGTTGTGTATGAAATACTTGCACCATGCTGTTACAGTACAGTGTCTTTGACAAAGGCCCCTCTTCAGCTGCCTTAAATATTACAGACGAAGTTTGTTTAGTCCTCAGAATGAAGTGGAGCTGAGCTCACAAAGTCACTCCTATGATGATGGGTGCAGGCTGTGGGGGTCCCAGAGGCTGCTTAGGCTCCAGCGCGTTGATGTCAGCCCCACTTCCCTCCTGAGAGCGGGCCACAGTGGGGGGGCAGAAGGGCAGGTAATGCAGCCAGGAGGAGCTCAGGTGTTTGTTAATGCCAAAGGGAAGGTTATAGACCTCTCCACTCTCCAGAGTGTTACTGGAGTCATCCTCATGAGCTTTGTTCCAGGCCAAGATGCCACGCTCTTGTTTAGATCCTGTGTGCAAATATCAATATGTATTTAGTACACTTTGTATTTAGTACAATATAATATATAATAGTAGTACCAGAATCGCTACAGCATATATTTTAATATGTGAAATATACAATTTTAAAGTTAATACACCTAAACATTTCACAACTGTGCAACCAAAAAATTATGAAAAAAATACCAATAATAACAAAGCCGACAATACCTGGGATTGTGTTATCAAGTATAAAGCCAAAGAATCCTCCCACAAACATGCTGGTGGTGAGGAGCACCTGCAGGACCTGGTCCAGCTCTACCACACCTGCACACAACATGTTCACATGTTTTAAGATGTTTGGTGCAAATCACACAGAGGCTTCTTCTTCAGTTTTAATACCTGTAGCAAATCTGTTAGGATTCTTTATTATCCAGTTGGGTATTACCAAACCAGAAAACATGGAGAAGCCAAAAATGAAAATATTTCGAGATGAATTCATGTCAGCATACTAAAAAACAAAGCATTTAAAAAGTTAAGTAAATATGTTTAACACGAGAATTAAAAAAGATTTAAACTTTAAAATGAACCTGTAGATTCGATACTCCTGCAGCAGCGACAACCCCAAACATAACCATAAACATCCCTCCTACCACAGGTGAAGGGATGGTTGTAAAAATAGCCCCTGCTTTTCCAAATACTCCCAGAACAACCATCAGGACTCCACTGGCCACAATCACCATTCGACTGCCAACCTGAGAAAAGTTTATAAAAAAATTTGTCATGATTGATTCTGCCATTACAGAACCTTTAATGCATCAGCACATTACCTTGGTGATACCGAGAGCTCCAACATTCTCACTATAAGATGTGGTGCCATTTCCAGTGCCCCAGGCTCCAGCCAGCAGACAGCCAAGGCCCTCAATGCCAATGCCCCGGTTGATGGCGTGTTTAGGTGGAGGTGGAGCCCCGGACAACCTGGCACAAGCGTGGTAGTCTCCAACAGACTCAATCATAGAGGAGATAACACCCGCCAAGATGCCCACCACTCCTGCCAGGCTCACAGTGGGCATGCCCCACTGACCAGGGTAAGGCAAACTGATCCATGGAGCCTGAGCCATGACATCCCCCTTTAGATCAGTGCGGGCCAGGTAACCGTACTGTGAGGGGTCCGAGGGGAGGACGTTGTATCTGGTCAAGAGGTAGCAGATGAGCCAAGATATTGAAGAGCCAAGTAAAACCTGAAATTACAATACATAATGTAGTTACCATATATAAAAGTATGTAACAAATATTTAGAGTGTTTTGTACATACAGGCAGAATCTGAAAGATATATACACGGGTGGTGTGCAGTTTTTTGACTTTGCTGTAAAAGGGGATGGGCACTGCAATGTGCCTCAAGTACTGTGAGAAGAGGATGATCAAAGATGTCGTCCTAAAAAAGATCAAAATATGTTAAAACTAAAGTAATTTTCAACAATGTACAGCATAGATTAAAGTCATCAAAGTGGTCACCTACATGGCAGAAATGCCCCAGTGGTTCCCAGCAGTAGTGCCCGCAGAGTCAAACAGAGACAGTCCAATGAGAGAGATGGTGGGAGCGATTGTGAGGGGTCCAATAAAACGCATGAAAAGGCCAATGAGCCCAGAAAAGCCCACAAACACTTGGAACAATGAGCCCACCATAATGGAGCCCTGAAGCTGCAGAACACAAATGAAACACATTATTTATGCTATAAAAAATAGCCTATATAATATATGGAACAAGTACAACAGTTATATAAGGAAGCCTATAAAACTCTCAGCAACAGAAGAAAAAACAGCCACTACAGTTAATTGAGTAACATGCCATAAACATGAAATGTGTTAGCATGACAAAAGCCTAACTAATAATACAAGCACACAGACGGGAATTAAACAATGACTGTCTTGTCCAGTTGAAACTGTCTCATTCTAATAAAAAAAAAACTTAAACAATTGATGAGTGTTTGACCTAACTTGACTGAGAAACCGTTTGTTAGACGATGAAAAATTGTACTGTATAAAATGTAATTAAAAATGTCATATGAATACAGTTTACTCACTGCTCTCATGCGACTCTGCCAGACCTCAATATATTCTGTGGATGACGTGTTGACGTGACTTGCATTTTGAGTCCAGGCAGGGCAGGTCCACTCTGGCATGGACAGCATTGCCATTGAAGGTGCCAGGAGGGTGAACGTGCCACCTTGAAGTATTGGGAGTCTGAAAATAAGACAGAAAAGCAGAGTAAATGAGTATGTCCCTTTGTATCTCAGTAGTGACATATGATTTATAGATTTAAACCATGTGAGGTAGGGGGTGCCTCCAATCAGTCAAACTGACCCAGAGAGTTAAGTCAATTAGTTATCTGCACTAATTCATCATTTTTTATATTATTATTCAGGTCCTATTTTATATGAAATAGACTTTTATGAGTTTTAAGCCATGGTATAATTTTGTGACCTCATCAGAAACATACCTAGAGTTGCGTTTTGTTTTGTTTGTTTCATTCACACATGTCTGAGTAATCCTTTATTATTAGTCTGTCTACATCTCCATAGCTCATTTCCACCTTGTGATGTCATGAAGTGGTAGTTTTCAAGTGAACAGCTACCTTTTATCTTGGAGATTGGCCATTCCAGGGCTGACAAAACACAGTGGAGCACTTCATGTATTACCACATGACATCACAAGGTGGAACAGAGTGTTTTCAGTTTGAGGGAAGAACTTCAGGAAGCCTAAATATGCAGGGTTTGTGTGTTAAACCTGTGTGAACGAAACAAAACACAACTCCAGGTCTGTTTGTTATGAGGAAACAACATTATAACATAGATCAGAAAATAGCGTAATATGGGCCTTTTTTGTGTGTTTTCTTTATATCTGTCCATCAGTTATGTGGAGACAGACAAAAAGCATCAGTACTGCTAAACTGGAGGAATGTGGGCTACTAGATTCCAAACTAAACAGTGCACAAATTCCTCCCAAAATCCCACTGCGACAAAATAAGAAGCCAAACTGTTTGATAACACTTGAATTCTTGAATCACAACTTGGACATAAATATTTTCAAATGTGCCAAATGCCACTATTCAAGCAATTGCAAGCAAACTCTTGGAAAATACAACTAGGCACTTTTCCTTTTCTTCCCTGATAATCTGATAAATATTTGACACTACAAAGCTGGGGGCAGTGCTGTTCGTTTGTGGGTTAATCAGTAAAGCCGCACGTACTGTTCTACTTTATCACAGAAGGAGGTCATTTTAATATGCCCTGCTGCAAAGTGGCTTATTGTTGTTGTTTTTTTCATGTTTTTTCATGGCCTAATGTTTTTTCCTTACCAAAAAGAAACCTGGAATTGTGCTTTGTTTCATTCACCCATGTTTAACACACATTCCCTGCATATTTAGGCTGAGTTTTTCTCTCAGTAATACAAGAAGTGCTCCACTGTGTTTTTAAACTCCATGCACCTTCACTAGAGTCATCTGGATAGTTTCAGCCCTGGAATTGCCAATCTCTACTCAACTAAAGGTGAAAGGTAGGTTTATATCTACAGCTTCATGCAAGGTGGAAGAGAGCATTTTGAGTTTTAGAGATGTAGACAGATTAATAAACACTTTAAATGAAACAAAACATAACTCCAGGTAGGTTTTTGAAGAGGTAACACCATTATAACTTGGCTTAAAGCTCAAAAGAGTCAATTTTGCGTAATATAGGACCTTTAATAATTCATCTTTATCATATTGATCTGAAAAATAGTATGCTTTTTGTTAACAGAAATTATGTACCTTATCCCAAATGTGACCTGGAGTAAAGTGCAGATGCCAGAGACAAAAAAGATGGTGCTGATGAGGTGACTTTGAGTGAGACCATCATGCTGAATACAAAGGCCCTGGGACAGGATCAAGGGGATGGCGATGAGGCCCCCAAACGCAGTCAGGCAATGCTACAGCAGATAAGACAGAGAATAAGTAAAAAGCACATTTATAGACAGTAAAATGTAATATTCAACACAAAACAGAGCACTAATATTAAACTATGTTCTGATTCATATTACAGTGTTGTTGCATCATCACAAACAGACCTGGACTTGTGTTTTGTTTCATTCACACATGTTTAACTCAAAAACCCTGCATATTTTGGCTGATTTCTTCTCTCTAACAGAAAACACTCTGTTTGACCTTGTGATGCCATGTGGTAACATTGTGATTTTAAACTCCACACATCTTCACTAGACTCATTTGGATAATTTCAGCTCTGGAATTGCTCAACTCTACTGAGCTGAATGTAAAAGGCAGCTTTATATCCACTGCTTCATGACATCACAAGATGGAACAGAGCATTTTGAGCTTTGGAGATGTAGATAA